TTTCATAACTCAAATTGAAGAGATATATATATTCTAAAATTCGAAAAAAAAAAATCTTATATGTTTCATAATTGTTAGAATGTGTTAAAAAAATGATTGTTTTTTCCATAATTTTTCGCACCCAATTCAATAATAATAATAATAATTTGTTAAAAAAAAAAAATCTACCACGAGTTTAAAGAAGTAAGCCTAAGGCCCAAGCTTGCGCTCCCGAGCTATAAGAGCAAGCCAGCTCAAGACGGGCCGTTTTTGCTTGGAAAATTGGCTCTCAAGAAAAAAAAAAAAAAAAAACCTTACAACTTTTAACGAAGTGAAATTCACCTGAATCCTCATCGGAGAATCGGGGTTACATTTTAGGGACCCAAAACTCATTTTTTACATTATTTTTGCTTCAAAACACCTCAAAATAACTAAAAAAAAAGTCAATAAACTCATTTAAAATCTTAAAAACTATTTCAATGCATGTTAAAAAAATTCAAAAATAAAACTGAAAAATAAAATTTATTTTGGGATCCGATTTATTTTATCTAACCATTTTATGACTTGAAAAGGATCATAAATTCACTCTTCTCACCAATACAACAATCTAGATGCAAGATCCGACGAAGAAATAGCCGGAATCTAGCCTAACCGATCATTTCTCTCTCCTCCATTCTATCTCTTTGTTTTCCATCCAAGGGCCACAAATATATTTTAAAAATACGAGGAATTAGAAATGTTATTTGAAAACAAGAGGGACTAAAAAAAATATGTTAAATTTACATATTGTTGCCCAAAAAAATAAAAAAATAACGAAAAACCCATCGGCATAAATAACAAAAACCGTCATCAATGAATAGTGTGAGTAGTGGATTTAGGCATTTGAACGAGTGTACAAATAGTAATTAGAACCTTAAAAACCATTTCAATACAAGTTAAAAAAAAAAATTCAAAATCAAATCAAACAATAAAATTTATTTTGGGATCCGATCTACTTTATCTTTCCATTTTATAACTTGAAAAAAATCGTAAATTCACTCTTTTTACTAATACAAATAATCTAGATGCAAGATCCGACGAAGAAATAACTAGAATCTAGCCTAGCTAGTCGTTTCACTTTCCTCCATTCTCTCTCTTTGTTTTCCATCCAAAGACCACAAATATATTTTAAAAATATAAAAAAATCACAAATGTTATTTGAAAACATTAATGGCCTAAAAAGCATTAAAAAATAACAAGAAAAACCTTTGGCAAAAATAACAAAAAATGCCCTCAATGAATAATTAGTGAATAGTAGTTTTAGGCATTTGAACGATTGTAAAAACAATAATTAGAACCTTAAAAACAATTTCAATGCACATTAAAAAAAAATCAAATCGAAAAATAAAATTTATTTTGGGATCCGATCTACTTTATGTAATCATTTTATGACTTGAAAAGATTATAAATTCACTCTCCTCACTAATATAAACAATATAGATGCAAGATCCGACCAAGAAATACTCGGAATCTAGCCTAACCGGCCGTTTCTCTCTCCCCCATCCTCTCTTTTTGTTTTCCATCCAAAGACCACAAATATATATTAAAATATGAGGAATAAAAAATGTTATTTGAAAACACGAGGGACTAAAATAAAAAAAAATTAAATTTACATATCATTGCTCAAAAATTCAAAAAATAACAAAAAATGTCATCAATGAATAGTTAGTGAATAGTAGATTCAGGCATTTAAATAGTTTGAGAACATTAATTTATCGTTCAAAAGACCCATCTCCTTTAGCTTTTTTTTTTTTTGTAATTTGCTAAGTTCTTAAAATATTGGATTCTAGAAAATGACCTATTAAGACCTTGATTTTGAAGTAAATAACTTAAATTCCACAATCAAATATTTTTTTAAAAATATATAATAATATGTGGAGATTAGTAAAAAATAATCATTTGGTACATCTAAATTGATTATATTTATCTATTTTATTTTGTAATAAAATATATTGAATTAATACATAATAATGGTTTAAAATATGTAAAATATATTAATCACACCTCTCACACGACACGATAATAAATACAAAATAACTTATAATTAGTTTGTTTTTACACAATACATGAACCGTAAGTAGATAGATCTAAAACAATTTTAATTAATTATTTTTGAACATAAACAACCATACCTCTTAAAGCTGATTTTACATTTTATATAGAAAAACAATGTAAGTTTTTATTTAATTTTGACATTTACTCACAATCAATAAATCTCAAAAGAAAAAAAAACTTTAACAATAATGCCAATAACAATATGAAGAAAAGGAAAGCAATTTAAACAATCGACAAAGTTGTCAATGTTGTGGTGAGTTGTCTAAACTCAATCATTTGCAATCCATTATTCAAAAAATCTCTAGTTAAGCAAAACAAATTTTGTCCACTTGTCAAGGGCAAATGTTGTTCTTCCATCAACAACAGGATTCCAAGGGTAGATGAGTCACTTGAGCTTTCAAGTATTCTACGAATTTCAAACCTGTCCGTAACGGGCCGGTTAACCGAACCAAGCTAACTCAGTCCGCTAACCGCAGTTAATAGCCGTTACCGTTTGTCAGTTTCAATAAAGAACAGTCAGCCTTGTCGTCTAGTGACACTCAACGTAAAAGGGTAAAAAAGTAACTGTACTATCTATCTGACCATTTTCGGGTTTCCATTTTGTTTTTACTTCGATATATATATATATATATATATTCTCTCCAAAAGCTTCCTTCCAACGATACCTAGTCCCTCCTCGTGATTTAACCATATTTTTTCACCACAGTAAAAGATATTAACCGCTACCTTTCCTAATTTAGATTTGCTGCTTGCTTCAATCAATTTTTCTTTCTTATATGTTTTTTTTTCCTACTAAAACTTATAACTTGAGGTGGGAGAATTAACGATTTGGATAATTTCATTTGAAATTGTTAGATATCTTCGTACAATCTTTTGTGTTTTTTTTTTATTAAGTTTATTTTCAGCAAGTTTTAAAAAGGTTATTTATATTAAAATAGAACATTTAAGAAAAACATCTTTTCACAATCTTTTCTTAAATTTAAATTTGCATTTGCGAACGAGCCAATCTTTAAAAATATAAATATTTTATTCAAGAGCAAATACCCTTTGTAAAAAAAAAAAAAAAAAAAGATGTCCAAACTTTGAAAAAACGTAACTATCAAATGCACTTTCTAAGATTCTTTGTTGACAAGATTTGTTAGGATGGATGCATGTATCTCGTTAACGGTGAGATTGGAGAGTAGTTGATTAGTCTTTTTATTTTTTTAAAAAATAGATGAAATTATAAATAGATTGGTATACGTTTAAATATAATTGAGAATATTCTGTCTTTTATTTTTATATATTTGCAAAGTTTTCATCACATGAATCGAAACCCGATATATCTTTATAAACGAATCAATAAAACGTTGAAATGTTATTTTTATAAGAAATTTGTAATCAAACTCAAACCTGAAACTGAACGGTATTTGGTAATAATATATTTTTTTACTGTTATGTGCTTTTTTTATGAGTAAAAAACAGTGAAAATGAAAGATATATTACACATTAATGTTTCATTTATTTATTTTTACTAGTAAGAACTCAGAAATTTGCGATCCATCTCTATCGAAAAGCAGACACACTAGACTTTTAAGTCATTTGTCAAAAGGTACGGCCAAATTCATTAATTAAATTATTATTTTAATCAATTTTTATTAAAAATTATAAGACACTCTTTATTAATATTTATTGTATAATAATTATTTTTAATTAATGAAAGATATATTGATAATTATATAAAATAGTGGGAATGGTAATGTAATGGGTAAATTTAACTATATCTTTTACCAAAACCAACGCGATTACCCATTTATTACACTAAGTCAGAGACTGTCAAAATCTTAATTACAATTCAATTCATAGCATCATTACAGTGAGAAAAGGCATTAATTTATTTAATGAAGCATTCATAGTGACACGGGAAAAAGGGTAAAAAAGGGGGTAAAAATGGTCTAGAAGTGACAAAACAAGAAAAGTGTCAAAAAAAAAAAAAAACGTGCATAACTACAAAAGTAGTTGGTAGGGTAGGAGTACTAGAGAAAGGAAAAGAAAAGAAAAGAAAAAAAGAAGAAATCTGTGGGCTAAGACAGTATTTGCATACGTGCTTCCTCTAGAGAGAGAGAGAGAGAGAGAGAGAGAGTTAGTATATTTCTAGAGAGAGAATGTGAGTGTGTAAGTAAGTGAATGGAGTATTTCAGAAGCTCACTGCTTTGCTGATTTTGAGGCCGGAGAGAGAGAGAGAGGAGTGCTGTGCAAGTTTCAACATCATACAAATAAACAGTCTAAGAAATTGACAAGAGCCCATATTTTTCGTTTAATGCATTTGTGTCTTTTTCTTTAAAACACCATCTCTCTGTGCTTATAGAGGAAGGATAAAATAACTCAGGTGTGCTTTCTTTCCAGGCCTTCTAACACGATGATGATGCATTGTGTTTTCTTTTTCTTGTCAAAGTCTTAATTTTTTCTCATAATTTTTTGGGACAAAGTTGATGTCTTGATCATGTTCTTATGAATTGCTGGTATGCTTTTTGGGCTTTTTAATGCGTTAATGAGGTTTTTTCATCTGGGTTTCTGTTTTTTTTAGTATTTTAATTGTGGGAGCATAGTTTTGCTAAGAAAATGCTGTATGATCTTCAATGTGGGATTTTGTTATTCCTTGTTTACTGTTTTTGCAATTGTTGATGTGGGTATTTTCGGATTTTTGAGGTTTCATTTACTAGAAAGATCTTTCCTTTTGATGTTAATGAAAGTTTTGATCCTTTTCTGTTTGCAAGTTTTTCTTTACTCAATGCAGCTTGATAAATGATTTCTTGTTATGTCAAATACATAATCAATTTCATGTTGATTCTACTTTGTTTATCGATACAGTTGTAATTTCTTGAAATCTGTTTATTTTGGTGCAGATAAAGGGGGATTTTGGTGTTTCCAGTAAGGTTTTTGTGGCGATGTTGAGGAAGAGAACCAGGTCACTCCAGAAAGATCAACAAATGGGTCAGTTGACAATGTCAGATTCTGGTTCTGAGTCGTATTTTCAATCTGATAATAATACGGGGCACAATCACAAAGCTAGCTCTTTTTTCACTGTCCCTGGCCTGTTTGTTGGGTCATGTTTATCAGATTGCGATTCTGTTAGGAGTCCAACATCTCCCCTGGAATTTAGGATGTTTTCAAATATAGGGAACCCTCATAAGTCCCCTAGGTCAGCCCATGGTGGGCAACAGAAGAGCTGGGACTGTAATAAAGTAGGTTTAAGTATTGTAGATTCACTTGATGATGACCACGACGACGATGGGAAAGGATATGGCAAACTCCTCCAATCATCGGAGAGTAAGAACATTCTTTTTGGACCCCGAGTACGAAGTAAAACCCCTAATTTTCAATCCCATACCGATTCTTTTCAAGCACCAAAGTCTTTGCCAAGAAATTTTGCAATTTTCCCCCGTACTCTTACCAAATCTCCCCTTCAAAAAGGCAGCTCTGATGTTCTTTTTGAAATTGGAGAAGGTCCATTTGAGTCCGAGCCCTTTGGGAAGATCCGGTCTTGTTCACTGGACTCTTGCAGGTCATTTTCATCCCTGTCTCGATTGCCTGGCCGGAGCTCGAAACTAGGTTCTGGGAAGTTTTGCTTGGATAAAACCACCACCCAGGTTGATTGCACTCCTCAATTATTTGGAGGAAGCCCAAATTCAAACAACGTTTCGAACACAAATTTAACTTGTACCCCAATGTCGGTTAGCTCTGGCAATGGCTTTGTCGGTTCTATCTCTGCAAGTGAGATTGAGCTTTCTGAGGATTATACATGTGTAATTTCACATGGTCCCAACCCCAAAACAACTCATATTTATGGTGACTGCATTTTGGAATGTCACTCTAATGACTTGAGTAATTTTGGCAAGAACGAAACAAATGAGATTGGATTGCCCCAGGCTGTTACTTGCTCTAAGATTCCATGTTCATTTCCCTCTAAGGATTTCTTGAGCTTCTGTTACTATTGCAACAAGAAGTTGGATGAGGGAAAAGATATTTACATATACAGGTCCGTGCCAGTTATCTGTAACCTATTTTGTTTTGTCATTTCTATTTAATGCAGGATGTTGATTCTAAGATGCTGAGTTGAATTGATTTCATGCAGAGGTGAGAAAGCATTTTGCAGTTTGAGTTGCCGTTCAGAGGAGATTATGATTGATGAGGAGATGGAGAATTCCACCAATAAATCTTCTGAGGATCTTCCCACGTCAAGCAATGGGGAGGGACTTTTCGAAGCTGGCATCATGGATGCTCCATGACGGCAATTGCAACGATAACCAACAGCCATCATGCCCATGATTGATGAAAACTAATGAGAAGGCAGACGCCTCTGATCATCTGTTTTGAAAGAGCTGTTTATGTGCATCTCTTAGCAGCCATGGATGATCGTTTTGTACATTGTTCCCTTCGCTGTTCATGTTTCACCGTTCATGGTCATGGTTAATGGCTCTCATTTGGCTAGTTTTTGCTTTCCATAATTCAGGCTTGTATTGCCTTGTAATCCATGTAAAACTGATGCAGCTGATTATTATGGCTGCCCAATTTTATCCTTCCTTCTTTAACCTCCATTGCAGCATACGTTATTGTACGAGCCTGCAAACTCTAACAGGTTTTTGGCTGAATATATAAGATGCAACCTATTATATACTGCTTGTTATTTCCTGTGAGCTTCAGAATTTATCATAGTCGATTGCAGATACTATGTGGCATTATTTTGTTCCTCAAAAAATTGTACCTTGGAAGTCAGAATCAAGAATACCAATAATCGTTACACGAGGGAAGTGTCTACTTGAGAAAAGATGGTACTAGATCTGTTGTGATCCTACATGACAAAATTTCCAGGTTTCTGATGTAAGCTTTCGTAGGTATGTGATTTGACGTTCTCCACAAATTTGAAGGTCATTATAGATGAATAGAAGTTCTTGCTTGGTTACTGGTGAGGTCCAAAAGCAAAGGGGGGTCCCTTTCACTATAACAAAATGTTTCCTGTGGTTGTGGTTCCTGTTGTACTCCCATGGGCTCATTGAACATGGAATTAATATTAATAAATATATTAAAACGAAATAGGGTTCCACCGTACCTAAGCCTTTTTTTTTTAAAAAAAAGGATTGTATTGCAGCCAAGTCCCTTTTTTGGGCTTTTTCTGTTTTTTTTTTTTTTTTGGTAATCTTCCTTCTATGTTGGCTGTTAGAGTTTGGATCATGCGATTTTTAGCCCTATATATTGCCTTTTTTTCATTTTAGTCCTTATATTATACTTTTAGATCTTTCAAATTTTAAAATTACTGTTATTGGGCTTATTTTTATTTTTTATACTTTAATTTTCCTTAAAATGTTTTATTGAATTATTGTAAATAGACTTTTTAATTTGATTTTAATACATTAGCAGAGTAAATTAGCGTGTTTATTTATTTAAATAATTTTATTTTTTGGGAGAAATTAGTTATATTAAAAAGTGTAAGTGAAAAGATTTTATAAGTTTTGTTATCAAATATGAATATGGAAAAATAACAAAATAGAAGAACTAAAAAATGGCTAAATTAAACTTTTTATTTATAGACAGAGATAATGCAAATTCTAAAATTTTACTTCCTAAGCCCTTTTTTTTTGGCTTTTAGCTAAAGTTTTCATTCATTTTGATCCACATTATGTGATCTTTACTTTGTTTTAATCATTGAGATTTTGTCATTTATGATTTTTACTCCTATTTTATGTATAATGGATTTTTTTATTTTTTATTTTTTGTGTTTTATAATCTTTGGTCATTAAAATTTTATCATTTTATATGAACATAAAATCTCTATTATTTTGTATTGTGTCAAGCTAAAATAGTGGTTCTTAAGTCTATTTGCATATGTCAATTTTTTTTTTTTTCATTTTTTATACCTAGCAATATCTAACAAGTTTGATTATATCAAGACAAAAAAATTATACATAGAAAAAAATTATAGAAAATATGACCATTCAAGATTTAAAAAGTCACCATATCATTATTTTAATCATTCGTTGTTAGACATGTTTATAATAAAATGCCCGATTATATCAAGTAACATTATATTGCTTAATTTCGCAGACTTTTCTTTTCAATTTTTTTTAAAATTTTTTCGGTATAGTCTTTTTAAATAATTATGTTGCATAGAATGTTATTTATTACAATAATCGTTTTGTATATTTTTTTCTTATATATTGTCGGATAAAAAATTAATCTGAGACGTTTTAGTTTTCACTTTTATAAATAAAGTAGATTCATTTAAAAGTCTTGAAATAATATATTTTTATATTGTTTTAAAATGTTTTATTACCGTTGTTATATGAATTGTTAGAATTTTTATTTTATATGATTAAACATATGAGAAAAATGTATAGCTCACTCCACGGCAGATCGATGCTAGTTTTATCTAGAATTAGAAGGTTGGAGAAGTGGACCGCCAAGTTCATTTATTTCTTGCCACTTGCATTCATTAGCTCCATGCTTTATCAGACCATAAATCTTTACATTTCTTGCTCACATCCTCACAGTAAGAGCAGTAAGAAATGCAGTCGAGTGTGCGATGATTTGGTGAACTTGGCTTTCTCTTTTAAGTTTCTAAATTCAATGGTGCTGGTACCCCGGCTGGAATTGTGGACGATGTAAGCTTTATCACCTAACCCTCCATTGCTGCAAAAGAAGAGAGGATAGAGCTGACAGTACTGACGCAGTAAAAGATTAAATGTTCTCTGAAGAACCCCCTCACTTCCATGTGCTGCTATTATTGTGGTCCTCCAATATATCACTACAGAAGACAATCTACAGGGCTTCCCTTTTGGTGATTCCTCACTTTCCATACAATGTCGAGTAGGGCAGCTCCCAACATTTTATTTATTCTTTTTACCTACTTTCATGAAACTTGGATCCCAATCACATGGTTGTGGGGTTCTAATACTTGGGAAAGAAGGGAGCTAAGCACAGAAGAAGTAAGCTAAGTATCTACATTATGATGCAAGGTTTCCTGCAATTGTTGCCAGAATTACAGAACTAGCAAATTCCCCACAAGCGATAAGCAATCTTTACCATGCATGATCAAGTCCTCTGCTTCACCAGGCAATGCCTAGCCTTCTCTGAGGTCAAGGTTTTAGGAATCCATTGCCAAACTCATGAACTAACTCCAACGAGGAAATCTAGTTGAGTTAGAATTATTTTGAATGAACTTTACCACCTCGTCGAGTGTCTAACTTGGCCGAGGAGATATTACCATGCATCTCATCGTGCTTTCATCAATCAAACCTTGACTTCTACAAGCAAAAGCTCTCAACATCTCATAAATGTTAAGTTAAGATTTTAGTATATTTCGTCCAAATCTTTTCAGGCACAGGCCAAAATGTCTTAACTCGATAATGACATGGGGAAGCAACTTGGCATAATTTCCCCACCTTCTCTTCCTAAATTCAGAACGTTTTGTCAATTTTGTTTCCGTTGAATGGCTAGCTAGCTACCGACTCTCACTCTACCTAAAACCTGTCATTTTTAACTACAAGTATGCTTCAATTATGTTTTTGGATAATTTAGTAATGTAATTCTATTCTAGATCTTTCCAAAAATACAAATGTGCAATTTGTGTTAACAATTTATAATAGACACCAAACTTTTTGTCACCAGTAATCTTTACAGGAGCAATATCCATCTTTGAATCTATGAAACCTATAATTATCCCTAATAACTATTTCTCTATCATAGGCCTGAGATATGAGTTTCATAACTGAGTGACAATCTATACACATTCGAACGCTATTCACAACCCGGATTGGGGAGTTTTCTTGGCTGTTTACAAGACCAAATGCGACGGCCAACCTTTCACTATGTTGAGATGTACCTGATAGTTCCTGTTTCATGAGTAATCTTCTCTCTATATCTTGTAACATGCAGATAATGTCTGCAGATACAGGGTTTGAGGCAGTGAATTCATGAACAACTCCATTTTGTTCTATCATACTGAAACCTGGTTGCTTTGGTACTCCTGTCTCATGTAGCTTCGTTCTCACCCTACTCACATCATCCCATCTACCTGCATCTGCATATATATTTGAAAGAAGGACGTGAGCACCGACATTTGTAGGGTCTGTCTCTATGACATGTTTAAATGCATGTTCTGCTAATTCCACATTGTGGTGACTTCTACATGCTCTCATTAAGGAACTCCATATAGAGACATCAGGTTCTATTGGCATTCTCTCAATGAACTTCACTGTTTCTTCCAAGTGCCCAGCTCGACCCAGGAGATCAGCCATACAGCCATAATGCTGAATTGTAGGAGTAATATTATAAAAATTACTCAACTTGTTGAAATATTTGTAGCCTTCATCAACTAAACCTCCATGGCTACAAGCGGCTAGTAGAGCTACGAAAGTGACATGGTCTGGTTTTACTCCTCTTTCCTCCATTTCCAAGTAAACATTTATAGCTTCCGAGGCATGCCCCTCCATGGCATATGCCGCTATAATTGCAGTCCAAACAAATAATTTCTTCTCCCTTATTTGGGAAAAGATCTCATAGGCCATTTCAACACACCCACATTTCCCATACATGTCAATTAAGGCAGTTCCCAACGTAGCATCTATACCAATCTCATTCTTCTCTATGTACACATTAACCCAAATGCCATGATTCAGGGCTCCAACATTAGCACAGGATGAAAGCAAGCTGATCAAAGTGATCTTGTCAGGTATTACATTTGAATTCTGCATCTTGCAGAAAAGTTCAAATGATTCACTAAACAGACCACGTTTGACATAAAACTTGACCATATTGTTCCAAGAAATTATATCCTTCTCTGGAATCTTATTGAAGAAGTCTCTTGCCTTATCAGCAACTCCACTTCGGCAAAATCCATACAACATTGAATTCCAGGATGCTGCACTTTTATACGGCAACTGCTCAAAAGCGTTGTGAGCTTCATCAAGTTTCCCACATTTTGCATACAAGTCCAACAGAGCATTCCCAAGAAACCCATCCACAATCATTCCGTACATCACAATAAAGGCATGGATAGCTCTTCCTAAATTAAAGTCTCCTACACGAACGCAAGCTGAAAGTGCTGTCACAAGAGCAACCTCATCTGGGATCACATTTTCAAACCTCATTTGTCTAAACAACTCTAAACTTTCAAAATAACACCCACCTTGAACAAAACCAGACATCATCATAGTCCACGATACCAAACTCCTCTCGTTCATCTTGTCGAAAAGTTGCCTAGCCTTATCTATCTTATTAGACTTCACATACCCACAAACCAAAGTAGTCCACAAAACAACATCAACCTCCGATTCATCACATCTACTCAATACACTAAGTGCTTCGTCCATTTTCCCACACTTGAAATACATATCTACTAAACAGTTCAACAAACTCCCTCTAATCCTTAACTTGTTTTCTTCAATGTAAAGATGCAATCCTTTTCCCACTCCCAAATCCCTCAACTTAGCACAAGCAGAAACCAAGCTAACCATTGTTATCTCATCTGGCAGAACCCCACTAACCAACATTTCATCAAATAAATTCAACGCTTCCCTGTACATTCCGTTCAAAACACAACAAGAAATCATGGTGTTCCAACTAATAACATCTTTATGAGTCATTTTCTCAAACAACTGACATACTTCGTTCAATTTCCCACACTTTGAGTACAAACCCATCAAATTGTTGTTCAAAGACTTATTTCTTCCAAACCCAGATTTCAAAATTCTCCCATGAACTTCACTTCCCAATTTAACGTTAAAAATCTTACAACAAGCATGAATCAAGAAGTGAAAAGTGGAAATATCTAGCAACACACCTCGAGTTACCATATGATAATAACCCTCAAACACTTCTCGTAGACAACCTTCTTTAAGTTTGTTTTCTAAAAGGGTATTCCAAAATACGGTTTCTGGTTCGTGGGCATAGCTCAAAATTTGACGGGCATAATCAAGGTCATTAACAGAGACCAAAAAAGCAAGAACTTGGCTTGTTGTTTCAGGGTCATGAATGAGATTAGTAGTGATTAAATGGGCATGAATTGGTAGAAATTCTCTAAAATTCGAACAAGATTTTAACAAATTTATGATCCGATTTGGTTTTAAAATTGAGTGGCATGTTGTAGGATTTAGTGTTGGCTTGTGCATAGAGGGAGAGATAGATGAGGAGAAGATATTTGGAAAAGTTAGTGTGGCCATAGTTTGAAGGTAGCCGTTGGTTCCCTTCTGTTTTTGTTAACGATGTTGTCGATATTAGAGTGTGCTATTACACTTCTGGCCCATTAACGTGTGAAAAGAAGAGTACCAAACCCAGATTCTTGGGCCTTCGCTTTCTCATTGAGGCCCAAGAAAATAATTACGTCGCAGGGTTATAACTCGTAACTTTGAACGTCAGTATTGTCGGAACCGGCCAATATTTGAACCCCAAAAGTCCCAATTTCTAATATGTATAAAAAATTAAATACGATAATCTTTTTATACGGAAAGAGTTTTTTTTTTTCGATCTCCGACTACATTTTTTTTAACGTTAGAGTCGTATCATCCAATGAAAGAATGATATATGTCCTGTGAGAGAGACACGTGAACTGACACAATTGTTATTTATTTATTTATTTCCTAATTATCTTTTGAGGTTTTCAATTGCTGTTCCACAAATTTCATCCTTTTCCTTCCTCTTTTATTAGAATCAACAAATGAAAAACTCTCTTTCCTCTTCGTCTAGGGTCAGCAAAGGAAAAACAAAAGCCACAAGCCATAAGCTGACCTTTCGGCCTTCTCCTCTTTCCTCCGCCACCGTCAGCCAAGAGTGGCTTAAAAAAGCAAATTCCATGAAAGGAAATCGAAAATACAAAATATTTAAAAGTTTAATCAAATTAATTAGTACTTGCGAAATCAAAAGGAGAAACAATCACTCTACTAGATCTGTTGGTTGAGAAAGTAGAGAGCAGTAAAAGAAAAAAGAAAAAGAGAACAAAGAAGAGATCGGGAAGGGGAAGGAGAAGAGAAACTACATAATGGAGAAGAAAGAGAGAGAAAAAAATAAAAAAGAGAGAGATATAACGGAGGAGAGAGAAGAGAGAGAGGAAAAATAAAAGGAAGTACAAAGAGAAGGGAAAGAAATAATGGAAAGAGAGGGGAAAAAAAAAAAAGAATAATGGAGGAGAGAGGAGAGAAAGGAAAAAATAAAGAGGGGAAAAAAAAGGTGGTCTTGGGTATTGAATTTAAGTTTGAATTTATTTTTATTTTTATTTCTTTTTGCATTTCACTCTCGTTTGATTCTCACATGAATCCGAGATCAGTAAGCAAAAAGACAGAAGTTAATTGCTGACCAATAAAAGGTTTAGGACTTAAATAAAAAAAATTGAAGGTTGAAAAATCTTTTTGTTTGACAAAAAAATTCAGAGTACTATAGAACCAATCAACCATTATAAATTACAATATCAAATACTGAGGAAAAAAATTGCGAAATAATATATTTAGCATCATTCAATTTTCAAATGGGATTAACAAGTCTGTCTATCACTGTATTACAAGCAATTGATTAATCAGATTTTTGTATCAACTTAATTGTTAATTAAATTTTTGTATTGGATCAATTTATTTGATATGAGCCCTTTATTATTGATTTTTTTTAGTGATGGTGTTAAGTAAATTGTATAATTAAAGGACATGTGTCTTTTAATCTTCTTGATCCGTTTAGGTTTCGTTTGTTTGATGAAAAATAACTTTTATAGAAAAATTAATTCTTGAAGAAACTATTTTTTAAAAAATTATTTTTCAAGAAAATATTTTTTTATTGTTTGATAATTATATAAAAAAATTGTTGAAAATATATTTTAATGTTTATTTGATAAAATAAAAAATAAAAATATAAAAAAAGTATGCGGCAGCATTAGTTATTTTTTCTTTCTATTTTTTATTACAAAAAAAATCAAAACCCGTCATATTTAAACTACCCGTCATCTTCATTTTTATTTTTTTGTGAATTTTGATTTTTTTTTTAATTCTTATTTTCTAATGCGAGAAGCCGGTTTTGCAGGAACGATTTTCAACTTAAATTTCGCATAATCGGATAAGATTTACGTAGGACTTGAATCCTTAATGAATCCTCCGTGAAGAAAAAATAACTAAGAGTTCAACGAAGTCGGAAGGACACAAATTGCTTGATTATACAATTTATTTAATGCAATTAACAAAAGTCATCGTGAACAAATTGATTCAATATATGAATAATTAACACTTAATTCGATACAAGAATTTATTTAATATCAATTGCTTGTAGTACAACGACGGTACAAATTACTAACCCATTTTTAAACCATAACTTAGATGATATTTTTTCTTTAATTTTCAAGAACACATGGACAAGAACAAAAAAGAAGAAGAAAAAAAGTTTTATAGTGTTATAGAGGTGCATGATTAAGCTAAAATCCTTAAACCAAACCATGCGCACACAATTTTTTTTTTTAAAAAAAAACCAATGGCAGATCTCAATATTTAAAAAAATAGTGGGAGTCATAACTCGAGTAATTAAAATTGGCTAAGCTTTTTGGAGGGGCCTTATTGAAAGAATTCATATATATATATATATATATATATATATATATATATATATATATATATATATATATAACATGCGAATTTTGTCATTTCTTCTCGAAGTTTTAGATAGATGATTCCTTAAATATTTCTTCTCAAAAGGTTGATATTTTTAATAGTTTTCTTTGTATATTCTATTTTCACAATGTGTACAAGCAATTTAAGTTAATTTACATGCATAAAAATTGATGATGAAGGATGAAAAGAGTGATTTTTAATTGTTATGCAAACTAATTTATAAATTTAGTATTTTGTAAATTAATAGTGTTTATTATTATTTGTTAGAATCAGTTGAATGTATTATATTAAAAAAGTTATAAAATAATGTGTGTGCGTATGTATGTACATATATATGCACTCCGATGGGTATTCAACAAAACCAGATTCAAAAGGAGCAGATATAAAAAGAATTTTCCCCTAAGATATAAATGGAGATGAAATATGCAATATGCTTACCAAAGAGCTTATAATCCAGTGATAATGATCTTTTATAAGAGATCACGAGTTTAAATCATAACAGATTAATTCTGCCATGAGATTTAGATGCGTGTGTAGAGTATGTGGGTTTTTTTTAAAAAAAAAACATGAAACATGCCTTTGTTCTACGAAGAATCCGTAACTGATTATATTTCTAAACAACGGATTGAGAATAGGCTCATCCCAGTTTTTTTTTTTAAAAAAAAAGAGACGGAAATTTCTCATAAATAATTGAAATAATTGAGCCGAATGAATCGAAAGACTCATGTCTATAATTTTTTTATATTCTATATTTTATTTTATTTTTATATGATAATATTTTAAAAAAGAATGAAATAATATTTAAAAATAGAATGAAATAATATTTAAAAATAGAATGAAATTAATACATCTACATTGTTTTTGGCATTTTGTTGACATAAAATTTAAAATATTTATTTTTGCATTGTGTATTAACTATTGACTAATAAATTTTAATTATAGAACAATTATAAAAAATTTCATTAATGGGGAATCTTCCAGTTCACCCACAATGAAATGGCAAAATTTTTCGCATCTCCTGCTTTGAACCCAAGAAATATAGAATGGGAACGAAGGAGTTTAGTTCTCACAGATATCTATTTTCACAAAGTTGGATCAGCTGGTCTCGGGTTTGAGTTGCTTTGGATTCTAGTTGTATTCGGATTCGAAGTGCTATATTTCTGACCTAAATCCAAATTCATTGAGTTCGAACGGTTCGGATCAACCATAAGTTTGAGAATTTCTTCTTTTTTTTTCCTTGCAAAAGAAAGAATTTGAATATTATTATAAATTAACATCTACACGTATTCCCATGAATAATAACATCAGATCATAAAATAGTAATTACGAATATATACATTTTTATATTGCCATAGCTTGAGATCCAAATTTAATGAAATAACTTGTTGTCTAGTACGTTTTTTATTTTTATTTTTTAAAAAAACATGATTCTAGAAGTTATATATATATATATATATATATATATATACAATAGCTAGTCTTAATAAAAAATTTTGTGGCATGGAGTAAACACATTATATATGTACTGCCATTTTTATATAAAAATTATTTTATAAGAAGAGATCAAGATAAAAATTTAGAACAACATATTTCATTACTGTTTTTGATAATTTGAAAATGATACTATTGAGATACAAGGTGATAATACTCTCTCTCTTTTTTCCCTTCTAAGTCAAAGAATAATCATGTTAGATAAACCACATACTCTTAGACAAATTACCCACATAGCCAAAGCAATTAAAATAACTAAAAATATAAGAAAAGATTATACTTTATAGATCGGATTAGGATTGGAAGATAGTATATCTGATCTGGATCCTAATAGATTTCAAATTGAATTCAAATAATTCACATCATTTTTTCCAAATAAAAAGTGGAGATTACATTCAAAATCATATTTCGATGTAAAATGAGTTTCAATCATTACATGTATAAAAAATACCTATTACGAAAATATTTAATATGTCAATTTAAAAAAATAAAAAAAGTTTGACTATTAAAAGAATAAAAATCAGATAATCCTAACAATTTTTTTTTTAATTAAAAATAACAAATTGATTTGAGGAGAAATGAACCAGTATGTCCTTATATAATTGGTCGAGTGCTTCGTCCGCCTTATATCTTTAAATGAGTCAATTATGTTTTTATATCTTAAGTGAGTTTTCAATCTATTATTCTTATGATTTTTTTTCAACAAAACAATAAAAAAATCACATGATTTGCATACTAATTTTATATCAAAAATTCCTCTCAACTAAATGAGTTTGTGCAAGTCACCATCCATAGCCATTGTCCTTTCCACCTTAGCCAGAACCCTATCATAACAAGTATCAAATTTAATTTTCGGTAAAAATTTACGAGTTTGTGATGCTAGGTTTGGATTTTGATGATTAAAGAGTGCTTAAGATGATAGATAGCTGAAAAAATAGAAGAAAAGTGGCACGTTCAATAATGGCTAACAAGTTAGGACTTGATATTGGCCTAAATAAAGAGTGAAAAAGATGGAAAAAGCTGACTTTAAGGTTTAGATTTGTAGATTGATAGGTTAGGGCTTAATTTTTAGGTGAAATAGGAAGGTTTTGGCTATAAAAAGTAGAGATTTTGGAAGTGGTAAAAAAAAGTGACAGGAAGTGCTAGAAAATGAGGATTGGATTTTGTGTTTTTTTTTTTTTTTTTTTTTTTGGGGGGGGGGGGGGGGGATGAATGGGAAGAAGAGAAAGAATAGATGGAAGGGAGGTACTGATGATGAATTGATTACTTGGATATGTAAATTTATACGAGGGGTATTTTCATAATAAAATTCTTCATGCGCAGATCATATGATATTTTTTGATAGTTTGTCAAATAATGAATTATTAAAAACTCATTTAAAATATAACGATATAATTGACTTATTTTAGGATATAAAGACATAATGAATATTTACCTCATTACATAAGGACAAGTTAGGCCATCTCTTCTTAATTCAAATTAGGCAATAATTATGACAAAACTAAAGAAAAAAAAAAAAAATATATATATATATATATATATATATATATATATATATATATATATATATATATATAAAAACTACTCTAGGTACAACTCGATTGACATGAAAGAAAATTCTAGTCTTTTTTATAATGAATAAGCTTGATATAAATTATCCACATGTCGGGTTGACCCAACCTAAAACTTTTGGATTATTTTGAATTGAATTATATTAATTTTTGGTTTACAAATGCTGGACCTATGACCTATTTTACAAGACAAATTTGGATTGATGAATCGGGTTCACATTTGCCACCAGCTTTTATTAGTGTTAAACATATCCAATTTGTTAATGAATTCCCTTTAAAAAAAAAATGTAATTTGTTAGCAGAGGCGTAGTACAAATCGTCTGAATGAAATGGATTTTTTTTTTTTTTTTTTGGGAAAAATTTTCAAAAAATTAATTCCTCAATTATTATTCCTGGATTCTTAATGTAGTCCCCAAGCAAAACTTTTCCTCAATAAGATCCCTTGTTTATTAAATTTCTCATAGCCTAACAAATTCTGACACCATACGTGCTTAATTCCTTGGCCAAACCCAACTCTTTATATGCTTCATTACAAATCCTGAGGCAAACCCTACAAAGAGATAAAAGGGAGGAGTAAAACGCTTTGCACAAACATGTATATGTCGTGAAGGCACGCCAGGAGAAATGATCCTATCCCTCACGGTATATATGGTTTGGATGTGCGCGAGACTTCCTGCAAAATCTCTCATGCGATTCAAACGCGCAAGTACGGTATGGTGTTATTTAATTGATAACGGTTTTATGCATATTAAAATATTATATAATTTAAAAATTTTTTATTGAGATTTAAAATTTTTTTTATTTAATTTAAGAGTTTTATTTTTATTTTATTGTTGTTTCAGACCTTAGTCAATAACAGCTTTTTATGTAAACACATATGACAAGCTCTATTAAATAATAACTTGTCGCGTCATTAATTCAATCATTTAATTTGGTCATTATGATATGTGATAAATTGTTATTGGCTACAATTGACCACATGTGCTTACCCGATATATTGGAGTCTGAAATAATAACAACATAAAAATAAAACTCTTAAATGAAATGAAAAAAAAGAACTCAATTAAAAAAAAAATCAAATTATATAACCTCTATATGTATAAAATTAACCTTTTATTTCTCGAAATGCATAGTCATCGTTCCAATAGCCATGGTGCTAGTAGTACCAAAAAAAAAAAAAAAAAAGAAGGTAGATAAGCTATCTCAAACTTCAAACAAGACACATTGTACCCACTACACCCATACACATTCGAAGGAATCCCCGCCACACCCATGGTGAGGCCGAAGCTCAAAGATACTCTGCAAAAGACGAGGCTACAGAAGGTAGAGTAGCCACCAGAAAACAGCTACGACGTCGGGACTCAAACTCAATCTCTTTGGAGAGGTGGAAGATGTACTTTGCCCTGGACAAACCCTTGGTTGGCACAGTACTTTACATGACAAACAGTGAAGATCACCTACAATATTATCCCAGCGGTGGATGCAAATTCCTCTGTTTCAGAATTGTTAATGGGTTGCTATGCCCTATATGTAAAAAACTTGCAACCTCACCCCTGGTCATGAGATCTTGAGTCTTCCTGATTCAAGTCCTAAACTGCCATTTGTATATAATTGTTATGATCAGGTACCTACTCCCGTGTGTTATCCATGTTTTCTTGTTTGGCTCTGTTCCATGGTTTGGCTCCAACCCCTGTGATTGGAATTGACGCTACCCTTGAGAATATGATTATATTGGCTACGAATTCCATCTTGTTGTAACTCTCCAATTCTCTACTGTTTGTGTTTATCTGGGATATTCTTTTTGCATTCCTGGTAATACTCGTATTGCTATCGCGGCTCTGCGAATTTTCACTTCTCAGGCATGTCCCTCTCCACATATGTTATTGTTATTTGATTGAGAAAAATATTTTAGCCCATAGACACTACTGAATAACTGGATTTTCTATCATCCTTCTTTTCTAGGTCTCAAGAACTAACCTACGTCTACCATTAATTGAACAAACATGGGCACCATTCTTTCGTCATCGTTCCAGATCTCAATAGCTTATAAGCATAGTTTTGAAAAAGATCGTCAACTGATATTCAACATTATGAATATCCGATACCGTTTCACACGGACATTTACGTAATGCCAAAAACAGAGATTAGAGAAGCAAAAACCCTACTTGCAAATTGCAACTTATGTGATTAATTCAGAAAATAAGAATCAAATGCTATTTGCAGTCTTTGAAAGTTTGATAGAATAAATCAAAAGTTAAGTCTTTTTATTTTTTTTATTTGGATACTTTATTTGATGGAATAAATTAAAAATTAATTCTTTTATTTTTAAAAAATAATTTAGTTCTTAACTATTTGAAGAAGAATATTTTGTAATTAATGTTTTATTATTTTTTATGCGCTATTAATCTATTTGAAGTTTTATTAAACTATTTTTAAATAATTCAATCATTATTATATAATATTAAATTATCCATAACATTATTTATTAGTATATATAATTAATAAAATTATTAAAAATATATAAATTAAAATAAATTTATTAATTATTATTAATATATTTAGAATATTGATTATCATAACCAATAAAATTATTAAAGATATACAAATTAAAATAAATTTATTAATTATTATTAATATATTTAGAATATTGATTATCATAACCATTACCACCATGGGGACCGCAGCCATTTTTTAAACAACAATCGCTATTTATCATGCTTGCAAATTGCAAGTTCGCAACCCCTTCCATTATTTTGACTGGAAAGCTACTTCAGTTGAAACCCCTGTTTATACACACGCGATGCTTTCTGGAGCAATAAACAGTCACCCTCACACCGTAACAGAAGCACCAACATCCACACGGGATGATCAGTGGAACCTTCTTACAGCAACTCATCATAACAGATAATCTTTCCTTTTTCCCAGAAACATTTGCTAACGAAACACAAGGAAAGGGAAACTAGCAACAGAAACAACTACTTTATTTGCAAGACCACCTCAAGCTGGTGGTTTCTTGTACATGATTCAATTGGAAGGATAAAAACAGAACAAAATGATTAGGAAGAATGAATTGAAAAAAGAATAGCGAAAACACAAGCTCTCCTCTGCAAGACAACGAGAAAAGAAAAGCGAAAACACAAGCTCTCCTCTGCAAGACAGCGCACCACAGGATACCATCCCTATCCACATCCATGGATATGTATATATATATACATGGATCAGTTTGCAAGTTGATAATGGCATTCTGCATGGAAGTTATCATCATCATAGTTTTCAAATTCCACTGCTGCTGCCACTTCTCAGCCTCTTGTTTGACGAGTATTATAGGACTTGCAGTTCAGGCATTTCTGGGCTACCACATGGTATTGCACTTCTGAGGACTTTCCACAATCATTGCAAAGGATCCAAACCTGCAGAACAGTAATAAGTATATCTAACAAACAGCAAGCCAGTGCATCACCGTGAGAAAATTTGACGAGCAACCTTCAGATCTTAAACATAATTTTAATGGCTCCACTTTCTATTTTGAAATCTGAGCATAGCACAGAAACTAAAGAGGGAGATAGAACAAACCATTTTATTTTGGAAGGGTTCTGGCATTGGTGTAGCGGCAATTTCCATGTCGAATTTTTCCCATACCTTGGACATATCACAAACCGACTTCGAGCAAAGAGGGCAAGCATATCTGTGACAGTAACAAGTTTAATACTCTGTAAGTTTCCAAATGGTTAAGAAAGCAAACTGGAAACCACTGAGAATAGCTGCTGGAGGGGAACTCACTGATAATGATCCCTCATTTCCTTTAAGCAGCTCTTGTGAATAGTGTGCCCACATGGCAAAACAGACACATCATATCTCGAGTCGAACAAAAACTGCAAACCATATAGACCAACCGAATTAATTCTCAATCATGGAAGGAACAAACCATGACGGATAGAATAAGTTATAATCTATATCTATACCTCAAAGCAAACAGGGCAGTCATGATGCATTGCACCCTCTACACAGGGGTGGCTATTCTTCAGAAGAATCGAGTAGCAGCAGCCTTCATAGTTGATAGCACGTACATGAAAAGTCACCATGTTAATCATGTTGTAACCAGAAACAGAATTCGGAAACTAAATTAGGACTAGTAATGACAGAAGTGTAGCTTACCACACTTGTAACAATGGAAGAAGTTCTCACGTCCTCCAATTCTGCCAAAACAGTAAATCATACCAGTCAGATAAAGATGATCACGTCAAGCTATAGAGAGAGAAGCCAAAATGTACAGGCACAGAAACATAATTACATAAGTGAAGCTAGGTTACAAAGACAAGGGACATGATGTCTGAAGAATATTACAACCTAAAAATTACTGAGAGCTTTCAGGTGACGTACATAGACCTTTTTCTTTTCATATCAAGGAGTCTCCTCAGTGAGGTTTTATGATATAATAATCAATAGTTTAGTGAATTGACATGGTCAGAAGCTCTAAAAACACTGCTTAGGGAAATTATAAAAATCAACAAGGGTTGAAATCAAAACAGAAGTTCTATTCCTGTAATCGTCCCCCCCCCCCCCCCACAAAAAAAATAAAAAATAAATAAATAATCTGCACTATTCTCTCTCTGATTATTTTGTGTGTTTGTGGTGGTGGGAGGCTACAACTGAAATAATTCTATCATCAATATGTTCAAAATGAAAACGAAACAGCATTCACAAGTATACCTGCAAATCCCACAGCCATCACAATGATACTGTTTCTTAGATGCCTGCAACAGGAGTAAACAAATGAGAGACTTATCAATTTCACCTCAATAACTTAAGAGACTAAAAAAGATCCGCAGAATACTATAACAAATACAGTCCCATAATAGCACTATGCTGAAAGGTGGATGCTACCAAATTAATCCTTTCATTGAATGGTGAACCAAGCTACTAAGGATGTGACATTAACCACTTACATCATCATCAAACAGCTTGCAAGTCTCACAGAAGTACTTTCCCATACACACACCACAGTTGATACAAACTTGTTGGACCTGGTTATAGCAAAAAAACAAGCGAAACATGAAATGAGTTGCGTAGCCAAATGCTAAATAACAGAGCAGGATAAATGCATAGAACAAAAAGAACTTCAGCTTTAGGTAAATGATTTCATTTATTAACTACTATAAAAATACATAAAGCAAGACTATTTAACTGACTTATAAAGTTTCTGTTATCATCATCCTTTTTTCCTTCTTCCTAGATGTTCTCAATTTAAGGGTGAAATTTACAAGTTACAAGCTTGGGATCAGAGGTCATAATCAGTCTGCTAACGAGAAAAACTTAATAACATCAACTAAACTCACCTCTTGTTCAGTGCCACAAAGTGAGCATATCACCTGGAAAATCCAAAAGAAGCATTTTAGCAGATTAAATGGGTAATATAACCATGAAGATTTACCACAAGAACTCACAAAGGCACAATCAAGGGGAAAACCAATATGGTTACCTGTTTGATTTCATGGCGCGGCATGTCATGTCTATGCTTATAATCAACATTGATATTGTTCTGGCCACCAAAATCAATATATTATTCAAAGTCACAAAGACATATTGTGCAAGTTATCAGCTTGAGCAAAATGATCAAATAGATAGTGATTTTAAATAAAAACCACCTTGGCCTCATTATGACAATGGCGGCAATCAAACACTTCATTACAGCAAGGTGCTCTTATATGACACCTTCTCCGGTAGTGCAGACATCTGATGACAGAGCACATCGTATTAAGCCAGTATAATGGCAAGCAACTATTCCAACTTTGCAAACAGGGAAAGATCCATACCCATACTCCATTAATCCTTTATCTAGTACTTTGGAAGTTTCCATATTGGATGATTCTTCTGAGAAGATGCAGTTTCCATTAAAATGCTGCGAGCCTGAGCCCATTTGTTGAAATGGTCCAATTTGCTGAGAGCCAACACTCCTAATATCTACTTCTCCCATGGCAATATCTTCGGGCAATAAAAACTACTATCGAGAAGTAGGCCAATAAACCAGGAACACCTGCACATCGGAACAAATTTAGAAAAGATTCTAAAACTTCAGAAGGCATATTTAGCATCCGATCAAGACAAGCAAACACCCCATGAGCTTTCTTGGACACGTCTGCAGATCAATTGAAATCAGCAACATAATCCAAGTAACTTTGAACAGCTCCAAAGTCCAATCAGCAACACTCCAAGAGAAGAATCATCAAAACAAGAAGATATGTAAGTATAACTACAATGCAGCATTCGGAACTCCAGAGCCTTCAGTCTTGATTAGTAAGAATAGCATTGCATGATCACTGATTCCTTGAAGGAGTCCCAGAACCAAAAAGACCAGTTACTCTGGACATGATAACCTATTGTAAAAGCAATACATCACACAATCAAACGTGTTCTGAAAAGAAAAAAAAGACGGGGAAACAGAGAGAGTGAATAAATGGGTTATTTTGATTGTCCATCAAGGACAGCCTACCTCAAATAGCAACTCTGAACCCCCGTCTCCTCTGAAAATTGAACTTACCAAAACTTATAATAATTTCTATCATCAGCACATCAGAGGCTTCCCGCCTGTCAGGCAAAGCCCATTGGAATCTCAGCTGTTCCCTCTCTATCTAAACCATGACCAACAGAATTATAACTTGCTCTTCTACAATTACCAGGTTCAAGGTAAAAACAAGAATAGTACATCTTTCTCCAGACTAAGGACGCTGACATTCACAGGTTTGAGGTAAAAACAAGGTTGAAAAAAGGAGAAATCAACAATCAATTCCTATTTCCTGTGTTCCCATCGATATGAATGGCATAGGGCAACAATCACTAAGTTCTGTATACAAGATCTAGGATGCCACTGAACGAAAAGGAGTTGATGTGGAAGTTCCAAGCATAATGACTGCTGAAAGGAGGAAATGACAAGACTGAGCTCAAACTGTGAAAGAAAGATTCACTGGTGAAGCCATAATCACTATTACAGCTATTAGGTGTTTCAACCTTCTGCTCCATTGTATGTTTGTGTTTAGAAACACGAGAAACAAACAAGTAGCTCTTTGTGCTGATCTCACACCCCCAACACTGGTCAAGATGGCATTGTTCATGAAGAACAGAGCATATAAAGACCTAATTTCATGCTGGCACCTACTAACCTTGAGCACTTGAACACCTGCAATTTAGGACATATCCTGCATAGAAAATCCCTAAACATCATGCCACTCCAACCCTTCCCTGCACAACTTCATGATTACATTAAGGATCCTAGCTACACCAACTTCCCCACCTACAAGATTTCCGAACTCCACTCCACATCATTCCTATAAATTGACTGTAAACTCAACGTAATAAGTTGCTGAAAATAGCACAAATTACAAAAGACGAACATTGTTCTAAACTGCATCCCTCCAACAAACTCTTCAAAACTTCTATGTTTAATTAGATGTCTTCCAAGAAAGGAGAGAACTTAATAACTACACATCCATCTGTTTTCTTTTCCATCAAATTTTGAATCAGTTCTCAGCAACCTTGACCTAACCCCCCAAACCATTGACCCCAACTACCTTAAAACAGTTAAATAAGAATGTCTCATACCACGTAAAGAGATTCTCTAAGTTAAAACTCTCTCTGGGGACTTTCACCCTTCGATTATTTAGTTTTGTTTGCGTAATATAGGTAATAACAACCAGCTCTTCACAAAGTTCCTTTTACATTAATTCAAAGGGAGCTCTGAAATCCACGAGAAAGCTGATGAATAATCCACGGAAAAACGATAATTTCCGCCGATTTTTAACATCTACTTCCGTGGATTTAAGGGCTACCTAAAGGAAAAAAACACAAATTCTCAAAATTCAACAGAGAAGTATAGACCATCAAGCTAAAACTACATTTCACATCAAAAAGACAGAAAACAAACATCACTACGCATTCCAATTACATACCAATAAAGCAAAACAATAACCAAACAATTAAAGCACAAAACTTTTCCGTATCAAGGACAACCCACAACACCAAAAAATTGGAAAAAAAAAAGAAACAAAAAAAACTAAAATCTAACATTTTCCAACAAAAACTGGACAAAACTTAGTCCAATTTTCGTTTTCTCGGAAGAAAAAACATAACTTAACATTTCATATAACATTTCCTTTTCATGCACACAATTTTCTCAGAAACCAAACAAAACTTAAATTACGTCCATGATGATTTTAACACATACCTAACAAAAATTAAGCTACGCTATTAACAGAGAATTAAAACAGACTATTATCAAATTACGTGAAATTTTTAATTAGAAAAACGAACTTTCAATCGCCGATCCGAGTTTCGATGGTTTTAACAGTAAGATCCGATAGTCGTTCGCGCAGCTCCAATCCAAAATCTCCAACTTCTCTCGTGTTATTTTTTGAGTGTGTGTGTTATATTGAGTAATTGTGAGGGAGGTTTAAATCGGAGTCTGGCTTATATAGGGGGAGAAATTCGGGTCATGAGAGATGAGAGATTCGAGAGAGTTCGAAATTTTTTGAAAGTGAAAGCTGTCTCTGGTTTTTATCTTTTTTCTTTTTGACAGGTAAGACCCAACACCCCTCGATACGCGTAAAATATCTTGCCGTTTCTTATGGTACAAGTGCATCTACGGAAATATCTTGGTTGCTCCTTGCTCGCCTTAATACTTGTTGACTTTGTCAAAGACGAATACTATCATCAATACTCGTTGTTGACCTGTGCTGTGCAGGATCAAAAACTAAAGAAAAAAATCGTCATTGACACGTGGATTGAACATTTAATCATCACATGCGAGAGCGCAAATTATTATCATATGGTGATTTTTTAAATAGCATTCTCATGCTTTCATGCCATGCCATCATATTGTTTTTTTTTTTTCCATAACTCAATTTTCAGTGAAAATATTATAGCAAACCATACAATAACATATTTTTCTTGTTTATATTATGATATCTTAGAGAAAATGATAATAACTTGTTGATAAAACAAAATAAAAATAAATTTTTTGTGTTTTTTATATTTACATTAAATATGAATATAAACAAAATTGTTTTATTTATTGTTGTTTTTTAGTTAAAACAAAAGATTATTGACTGTTTATTCCACCTTTCTATCTTAAAATTATGTACTTATAATAAACTTTTTTTTTTGGTAATAGTGTTATTTTGATGGAGGTTTATTAGTAAAAAGTCTTTGATTTTAATTTTTAACTAGAAAAAAAAGTCATTAATTGCTAATCATTATTATGGATTCATGATTTGGCACAAATTAATAGTTGATGAGTTGTTAATTTATGTATTTGTAAATATTAGATTAGATTTTTAAGGACAAACATTAATATATGTATAAAAAGATATGGACATTTATTAAGTAAAGAAGAGTAGGATACTTACCGTGAGCATGCTTTATGTAAGTTTTCCCCAAGCTGAAAAGTTGATCACATCGAAACTTCGGAGAAGAGAAACGCATGGTCATCCCGTGAAAGTGAAATCAACGGTCGGTGTGTGAGACAAGGATAGACCTTAGAATGATGTGATTACAGCTATCGCTAAGTGGGAGACAAGTCAAAGATCAACTTCGCTCACTAAACTTGTCATGAATTTTGACGTTTGACACGTGTCCGGTCGGCGAGACAGATTTGTGTCAGGATTTAGGGCTACTTTGATAGAGATGACGTGGATAGATTTGACTGATTTTAAAAAATATCTTTGACAATCTGTCACGTAAATTGGAAAATTGGGGAAAAGGGCTTCGTACTTATCTGTAAAGCAAAAAAAATTGATAGGGATGCTTAAATCGAAGAATAATATTAAAGGATAGATTCTTATCTGATAAATTTATAAAGGATAAAATAAACGATGGGAATCTGACGTGGGAGCTAAGTTCTAGTAAAATCCAAGCCTATGTGGACATTCCATTTGTGGAAATGTCAGTAAAGAGATAAGAGTCGGATACTCACCATAATTATTAATATTTAGCACATTTGTATATTATTTATGGTTGATAACTGGATTGCTATGCACGTTTATTGTTATCGTTCGAATCTTAAATATGTAAGAAAATAATTTCTTGTAAAGTCAGAACTTTCTGAATAAAGAATTAGTCTTAATGCCTATAAATTAGCTCCGAAAACACTTCATCGTTTGAAAAATTGAATACCAGGGCCATTCAATATCATATTATGTAGTGATTAGGCAGACAAGTGTCAACTGTAATATTATTAGTAGCTATTCAGTATCATGTTGCTGGGATTATTAAAAATAAATATAATTAATTCATAAAAAGTCACATAACTAATAAATAAAAATATTGTAAATTAAGATAAACAATGAATTAAAGCTTTTTACCTTGATTATTAAGAAAATTATGAAATTAAAATCATGTTATCATGTTTTATGGTATAAAGATGACCGAGCCATTAAAATAATTTTACCATAATTTTTAGATAAATGACTCGAGATACAATCGAGTTATTTTTTTTAGACGATATACGATTTTTACGAAATTTATCTAATACAACAGATCAAATATATGTTGCATGCCGTTTTAGAAATACAATAAGTTTAGCCACTTTGCCATTTAATAACTTTTCACTCATTGTAAGACTAGAAATTAAAAAATAAACGAGTACTACTCTCATGCAAAGTGATGATAAATATAATCATGTAACTTTTTAAACGGAGACTAACCCCTTGTTTGGATAGGGTGGAAAGTGGGGGAGAGGAAAGAAAATAGGAGTGAAAAGAAATGTTTCGCCGTTTAGGAAGAGGGAGGAAAGAAGTGAAAAGAAAAAAAAAAACAATGTGAAAATGGTGGGACCCATTTTCCTCCCAAAATTGGGAGGAAACAGGGAGAAAAACGGGAGGGATGAAATTTTTTTTTGTTTTTCCCGGTTTCACCCTTGCCTTTAACCGTTTCCTTCGTTTCTCTGCCATCATCTCGTCTCTACAAACACAATCTCTCTCTCGCCGAAGCTATTATTCTATAAGTATCGACATCTTTAAGAATCAAAATTCTCTAATATGCACATGTTAGCAGACAAAATATAACCCTTAAATCCACTATAAACCGAGTCAATTTTCCATAAAAAAATAAAACTTTCATTTCAAATAGCAAGCCCGTGTAGGTTAAAACCTTTTGCGGCGAAGTTAGCAACACTAAAAAAAACTCACGTCACTCGCAAATGAATTAACAAACATGAAACAAGAAAGAGATAAACCAATCAACGGAACAAATTAACTCACTTTCTTTTTCTTCACGGGTTTGAGAATCTTAATTATACATTTCTCACTATCCGTGCAATGCACCCCCTCGAAAACTTCACTCGTATTTCCCTCTCCCAACCTTCTTCACCACCTCATAATCATCCTACTCCCCGCAAACCAATCAACGATTACAATATATATATATATAGTTTCCCTATTGAAAAACCATATTACTAAATATTTAATCTCAACAATCAATCTAAAAAGAAAGAAAAAGATGAATATACCCCCATTGAACGGTGAGAGACTCATGGTCCCAATAGTCTTTAGGACGGATCACATTGATATCGAGCATAAACCCTAGCCTTGGAAGGGGCGTCGGGTCGGCGAATTGATTTGCCAATTTTCCGCGCCGGCGTGTCCGGAGGAGGTACCGAAGACCTAAATCGATGAGGAAAACGAGTTTCGTATCCGTTGGTCCGTGCGTCGTTCGTCGCCGTTGTCTTTCTCCTTGGTGAGAAAAAGCGAGTGGTTGAAGAAGCCAATTGATGGAAGAGAGCGAAAATCAATGATTGAGGAGAATAAAATAGATGAGGATTATGTTTATTGTAATTATTATTGGAAATTAATAAAATAGAAGAAAAGAGGGGTTTTTTGTTGTTGGTGTTCTTGTTCTTCAAGATTGGAGTCAATTTTTGTTGTAGCAAAAGAGGCCTTATGGCCATCAAATCAATTCGTTCAATAAAAGTGGGGGTTGTTTTTATCTTGTGTTTTAGCTAGAAAAAAGAATCGCTTTGTCCTCGTCCTTTTCTTTTTGGTCAAATATCATATCACTCCTCCAATTACATATATATTCTCAACTAAGCACTCTAACTACCAAAATTTATCAATCAAATGCTTCTATAAAAATCATTGGAAAAGAAATTAAACATTGCAAATGCTAGGCATTATTTACCTTAATTTTCCTAAGTTTTATATGAAAAGATACCTAATTCTTCCTCCTTCCATTTAGCATGTTCAAAAGCAATGAGAAATTAGAGTGTAGAAACTGGTCCAATGATAGTTTAATTTCTTATAACTTGTCTTAATTGAAAGTGATATTGAAATATTTTGCTCTTAAAATTTGAGAAAGTTATAGTAAATTAAAAAAATATTTGACAAATATGTCCAATATTTAACATTGTCATTATTTATTTTAGTGAAAGATTATGATTGAGTGATAGTGTGTTGATGGGGGACAAAATTGAAAATTTTGGTAGTTTGGATGCTAGATTTATAAACAATTTTATTATAAGTATTTAAATATAAAAGTATAATCATAGGGGTATTATAGTAAATATACAATAATACATTTTCTTTCCTTCCTCTTTTTACAATTATCCAAACAAGGGAAATATATTTTCTTTTTTTCCTTTTCACTCTTATCCAAACAACAAATGAAAAATGATTTTCTTTCCTCCTAAGAGAAATTATCCAAATAAGGGGTAAAAAGACAAAGAAGCAATAGAGCTAATTATTCTTCGATGCTACTCGCTTCCTTGTCAAACAAAAAAGAAAAAAGTCCTATTTATAAGTGATGAAAAATAATTGTTTCGACCGTTATAAAAAATGTTTTTAGCCATTATGAAAAATAATTGTTTCGACCGTTATGAAATTGTTTTTGACTATTATGAAAAATAGTTGTTTTTTTACTATTTTTTTTACTGTAGTGAAATGGTTTTATATTATAAGATGGTATGATAATGATTATTGATAATTTTGACTAAAATTAATATTATTTTTATTAAAATAATCCAACAATCCCCCATTTATTTTTATAAAAAAAATCATAGTAATATTTTCGGTAAGAAAATGAAAATAATATATAATAAGGGTACCAATAGCTTGAATCCTTATTCAATGTTGCTCTCTAGCCAATATTGTCTAGAACTAAGACTATTTTTAGGAGAAATAAATATTATATCACACGTATCATATTCAAGTACTCTTCAATAAATTTCAAAGTCAACACATTATGATCTTGTGTTTGATCTCGGGTTCTATGATTGTTATAGAGAATTAGCCCTATTCTCATAAGAAACGACTTCACTTCCTTACTCATATAAGTGTGTCTATTAAAGATACTCTCATAAGTTTAACATCTAATTTAAAAGAACTATAAATCACATTAAAAGTTTTCTCTAAAGAAATTTAATCTTTATTTCATTATGAAAATCACACACTTACAACACAAAGATAGACATATAAGTAATGTAATTCAAATATAAATTGTGCATGTAATCCAACCGCTTTATGTTCGTTGTTCTCCCTAAACCTAGTTCTTGAGATCTCTAATCCCTAGATAGAGTATCTACATAAGTGATTTTATTTTTTTATGGGCTTAGTCTCATCTTTCTTGATACATCACCTAATTATTTGACTTTAACTAAAGATTTAATCTCATGATATACGCATATATACCTAAAAGATTAGGTAATAAGCACTTGATCAATTTATTAGTGCTAAGATAAGTGGTAAGAATTTTTCATCATTAGTATTATTTGTTTTAGACAAAGTATAACATCCATTTACTTCTTCATTGAAATATGTTATTAGCAAATTTAAGTTTCACCCGTATATGTGAGTCAATAGTAAAGATACTCTTATTTATTTTTTATGTCATCATCATCGTGATAAAGCGGGATGGTATCATTGTATTTTTAATATAATAAAAAAAATATTGAATTTAATCCGATGAAGTGAATAGAGATATTTTTTAATCTTTTATCTCTCATACAAATTTAACATCATTATATCTCATCTATACGAAAAGAATGCCAATATTTGTTTATGGATTTAAAATTATCAAATTATCACTAATTATCTTATCAAACAATATCATTAAATACCATTATATTTTATTTGTGCAATAAGAGTGTTTTTTATTCTACTTATGAGACAATATCATTAAAACACCATTTTACTTTAATTGTACAACATGAGTGTTAATAATTCTATCAATTCCCTCAAGATATTTGCCAAATATTTCATAAGCATCATTATGCCATTTGTATAATAGGAAAATTTTCACAAATACCTCCAACATCGCCACATTAAAAATGCATATGGCAAAAATATAAATAGCATCAAAAGAGAATTATAATAATTTATATTGAAATACAAAATATTATTTTCTCAATCAAATTTTTGATGTAATAGCATTTTTTTATGTATGCACAACTATTGACATAAAGCATATTTTCAAAGTAATAATAATTTTTATATGCCCTC